ATTCTAAAGAAGCCAAATGTATGACCTTCATTTTTTGTCAAAGAATTTCTAATACCGGTGATGATATTATGTAATATATAAACATGTATACTAATACTGGTTGTTGTAAAGTGTGATCTTTGTGAAGCTTTTGTAGTAAAGTTGTTTTGAGAAAATGGAGTACACCTAGCTACTGTAGATCACTAAATTTTCGCGACACCTTATTTTCGCGAGATAGTCATTGACTCTTGATTAGCGACACAAAATTTTCGCGTATTGTGGTTATTGTTCTATATAATCTTAAGGAATACTATTATATGCGAGAATTAAATTTTCGCGAGCACACTGTCTAGCGTAATTACGCGAAAATAAAGTTCTCGCGAAATAAAAGTGATTTACAGTATTTGATCAAATTAATTTAGACCAATGTATTTTAAAATGTAAATAATAATCTTTCCTATTATGTTCAATGTTAACACATTATTTTGTTTCGTTTTTTTAACGCTTAATCGTGTATAAAGTATATTTCGTACACTATATTAATAATAATGTATATATCTATATACGTGCAACTCAATTTCTATTTTCTTTTTAAATATGCTCTTTATTTTCTTATTACTCAGTTGCTGAACATAATGCTGTAGACCTCAGTAATGCAGATATTTAATCCCGGTGAGTTTAAGATAAAAGATACCACACAATCTGACACATTCGTTTCATATTTGGATCTTTTACTAGAAAATTAAAAGACGTTAATGGTTACCTAACAGCAAAGCTTTATGATAAACGTGATGACAAACCTTCCAATCGTCAACTTCCCTTACTTTTAAAACAAATATACTTTTGTCACCTGCATACGGAGTTTAAACCTCTAAGTTGATTCGATCCGGAAGAGCATGTTCGACGTATGAACAATTTTTTAAACGAGGTAAGCTATTGACAAACACGTCGATGAAGCAAGAAAATCAGCATTAATTAATTAAAGTCATTATTTCGTAAGATCTATGGTCATAACAATGTCTTTTCTTAGCAAATCTTTAAGTCAATGCAAATGCTGACTGACTCTTTTCATACTGATTGTTAAGCCATTATCTACACACTGGGATGTTCTCAGATTTTCCTTCCATTATTTCCCGATCATGACAAAGAGCACACGGAGGGTCGGCAGTGGATGCTCACTTCTCCATGGCACCTGATCCTACCTCTGATGTTTTGGAAGTCCCTGTTTTCTTCTCTCCTATTTTGAAATGTTTAATGGACTTTTGAGTTCAAATACTCTACGTTATCTCCACATATTTCATTTTATATGGCTTTTCTTTTAATTATGAAAGAGTACTATTCTGTCTAAGATAGACATTAATTGTTCCGGCCATTTTCAAGACAGTTCATAAGTAAGGGATGGTGGATCAGTAAAACGTTTTATAACAAAATTTGCTAAGTTTTCATCATTTAACGTCACAATGAATTTAACTTGATATGCTTAGATAGCAAACGCAGAAAAAAATTCAGAGTCTGAAATTAAACTGTATATACATACGACTGTCAATTTAAACTGATCTCATCCACAGGTTTTACAGTAGATGTTTGAGCATCTTATCACAGTTATTTCAATGTTTTCAGTTAAGAGAATTAAATTGATTTTTAAATCAATGCATGTATGTTTGTTTGAGAGTCGTAGTCATTTATGGCAGATATGATTAGTTTATCCATGGCACCTGATCCAAGGTGTTAGTCCGTATATGCTCTGCCTCTCATTGGTGATGTTAAACGGACTTTTGTGCTTGACTACTCTTCATTTTCAATATATTTCATTTATCAATGATCATAAGGACTAATCAAATTCGATTTCAATATATTAAAAATATAATTTTACCTCGTTTTACCTAGGCCTCATTTTGTGAAGTAACTTTTTATTGAAACTGCATCAATCTCATCTATTTGTGCATTTACTTTAAACAGGGCGAAAAAAAAATACTAGTAAATCATAAACTTAAAAGTAAAATGATTCATGTTTTAAGCAATCTGCGGAAGCCATTATGGGAAAATTAAAAACTAAGGAATACCTGATCAATGAATAACAGTTACCAAAATAAATAAAGAAAAGAAAATCCAGTTTCTAACGGAAAAGGTAGAGTCTTTAGGAATACCAAAAAATTACGCTGTTTTCATTTCTTAAAAAAATTGCTATGCAGATTGAAATGTTTTTTTTTTTTGATAATGTTTTTAAATTATGAAGTTTTTTGATATTGTTTTAAAATAATCAAGTTTCTGGATAACAGAGCGAGCAGCCATTAATTTCAAAGAGCTGCAGAACAGTCCTTATCTAACGGAATGAAGATATTCGAAAATGAAAGAACTACTGTTTCAATGATATAAACATAATATTGATTTTTTTTTTCCTTTTTTCTTTGGTTTGCCATTTTGCACCCTTCTTGACATAACGCGGTGTTGTAGGCTGTGAAATCAAACGTGTAAATACTGTAGATCACTTAATTTTCGCGACACCTTATTTTCGCGAGATTATCATTGACTCTTGATTAGCGAGACAAAATTTTCACGAATTGTGGTTATTGCTCTATATAATCTTAAGGAATACTATTATATGCGAGAATTAAATTTTCGCGAGCACACTGTCTCGCGTAATTACGCGAAAATAAAGTTCTCGCGAATAAAAAGTGATTTACAGTATACATGTAGTTGAATTTTTAAAACGATGGTTAATTTTAGCTTTTGTCAACTATCATGAAATGTTAAGGGTGTGTTTTTAAGATTTATTTGGAAAATAATCCTTATCATTTTGTTGATTATCAGTAATGATATTAATAACAATTATAATAATATTAATATTCGTATGTGTGCATCCTCAAGAAGTGCAGATACGAGTTTGTTTGAGTCAATATTCAGGTGATAAGTTATTGGTCACGATGAGAGACAAAATGTTACCTAGGAATATACAGGTTCATGTACGAGGGTTGTCCCATAAAATCGTGGACAAAGCGTTTTTCTCGAAAAGTAATGGGCGCACTAAGCTGAAAATTTCAGTAAATGTTTATTTATCATATATAAGTGCATAATAATTTTTTTGATAAAATATAGGCAAAAATAAAGATTTCATTATGCCTTAATGTGCACAAGGTATTGTCCTACGGCGCACGGTCAAAAATTCAAGGTTTTATTAAAGAATACACAAGTTTGAATTCAAAATAAAAGTTTTAAATACACAAAATATGGATTAAAATTATCCCAATTCAATTCCACAATCAATTTTGTAGTCTTTGTAAAAAATTTAAGGGATTTGGTTAATTTTTGGCAGTTTCTCGAGCATTCGAAAGGGGAAAGTGGTAAACACAACACACGGAAAATAGCGACGTTTTATGACGTTACGGCGCACCGGAGAGCAGTTCAGTTTTATTTCGATGTTGTAATGACACCTTTAGAGACTTGAAATGACCATAGAAGAAAAAAAATTATAAAAATATCACCATATCTTAAGTATACAAATGAAATAGGAGTTTTCTTAGCGAAGTCTTTTTTTGATCGAGTCCCTGGGGAGTACAAAACATACGGATAAACTCCTAATGTAATAGCAAAGGACGCTGTCACAGTAGACCGCCGATATGAGATTTTCTGTTAGTTGAATGATGATGATAATATTGTCCGTAACTTACCAATAAATCTTCAGAAGATCGCATGAGGATGCCAATTCGCTCTTCGACTGTTTATGGAGACTTAAGAATGTGTATCAATGAAATTCCTCAGTTTAAATCGGACTCATCCAACTTCATTTTTAGCAAAGATAAAACGTGACGCTGTTTGAGACACTTTGACGTTATAATCCATGCGCCGTAAGGTGATACAATGCATGGCATAAAATCTCATAATTTGTTTATTTATGCATATATTTATCTGAAATTTGCTGTGTATATTACTAAAATATGTACTAAATAATAGTGAAAATTTCAGAACTCAGTGATGTTTATTTTTCACACTAGACAATTTGTCCACGATTTTACGGGACAACCCTCGTATATGTTCTTCTCGGTAAACACTAGGAATCGTTTTTAAATGCAAACATCAAATGTTGTTTTTAAAAGTTTTCTTTTCATAAAACTTAAGTGATACATGCATATTCCATCTATCTATAATAACGTTGCATTTAAAGGTGACCTAATTTTTTTCTCCAGATTAAGAAGTTACATTACTCTTGCTGATATTGAAGCAACCAAAGGCTGTATTGATGTAGATCCAAGAATACTCGCATGAGCATTGTTATCTAAAGCGTCCCTTTTCTTCCGAGTTTCTATGAAAAGCTAACTTATTCAGACATATCTATATGTTTGTAGGTATCCTTGAAGCGCCAGGAAACATTTCAGGGCATATGTAAGAATTTTTTACCACACTTAAAAGAAACATTTCTTAAACATACTTTCAAAGAAACCTCAGAAAACATACATACAAAATTAGTGTATTACTATCCCCAAGAAGAAGGCATGGTTTTACTTTATTGCGCCCTAAAATGTAATGACATCAAAAAGTTCTGAACTGGCTTAAATATTAGTTGAATTTATGACTGTGATAAATCAGGAAAGAATATTGTATAAAGGTTTACCATTCAGTAAATAGGACGTCATTAATATGATGCATTTCTATACTTTCAACAGAAAAAGCCTCATAATGCCCAATTTCAATGGTGATTTTCCTTTAGAAAATAGGGTCCACAGCCGTCGCCCACGTTAATTTTTTGATATTTTGTACAAAAGTCAATAACAAATCACATATCTCAAGATCTTTGTGGGCGATGCCTGTAAACAGTATTATCTGAAAGAAAATTCAATTGAAAATTGGTCTCTTCTGCAACTTTTTAAGAAAATACGGGAAAATGCACATGATTATGCGTCACAATTAGCATATTTAAAACACATTTAAGAAAAATGATTTGCATGCTTTTTTCTGCATAGAATTTCTATTGTTCAGAATGCATGAGTTTTCAACTTTTACATCATTTTCATTTTTTTTTTTAGAAATTCAAAGGGCAAAATTTATATGGAAACCATACCTTGTTCTTTTTTATCATGAAATTTAAAATAGAAAATAAAAATTCGAAAGTTTTGTTTCATATGTTTATAAAACTCATAACACAGAACAAATCTCCAATTGGAATCATTTGATGAAATCATTTAATCAAAAATCCACTAAAAATACAGTAATAACCTCCATCTAAATTACCAGTGGTCGATGCCTTGACAAAGACAACATCTCTCGCTTCTAGCTGCACAACAACAATGGACGAAGATGAAATGTAACCAGTTTTTGTATATATATCCGATAACATCTGGTTTCCATTTCTCATAATATTAAAGTAGGAATCTTTCCCGTTGTTTAACAGTGATGCGGAAAACTGGTGCACACCCCGTACTGGAACCGTGAAGTGTCCATAACTTTCATGGTAAGCGTTTCCAAGATTCAGAATTATTCTATCAAAAACAACCGTGTTCCCAGCCAAATATTCCGTATTATGCGTTAATGTCGCTGTGAAAGCAATAGAACCTTGACCTAAAGAATTGATAGAATATATAGCATTAATTCATTTTGTATGATACATACAATAAACTTTAAACTTGATGAAATTTTTTTTCAGATTATTTTGTCATTATATCTCTTTCCCTTTCCATTTCGTCTTTAATTTTTTTTTAGATGAAATGAGTATGGAAATAGGGCAAATAAAGGCAAACAGAATCTCTATATACTCACAATCCATTTCATTAATATCCTGCAGTTTCTTGATATTTTAAACTTTTGTAAGTCAACTAGCTATTATAACTTGTGTAAGTCAACGTCGGGCTATTTTAACTATCATATTATGGTATTTAGGATTACTCTTTAATACTTTATGTGAATCATTGGATCGTAGTTTGGCTTACTTCTTTTATATCAATCTTTGGGCCTTTTTTATACTGAATTTGAGCATAGAAAACTTCGTCTAAATGATCGATTTAAAGGACTTGTGGTGTGATATGTCATAAGGGAATGCTTTCTCCTCCGAGGCACCTCATCCATTCTGTAGCTCCGGGGATCCGTGTGTTTGTCATTTCTTGCTTGTATTTTTTTTAAATAAGATCAGTCATTGTAATGCTAAAATGTGTTTCAAAAACTTTAAAATTGCAAGAAAAACCTTGATCCCTTGAATTGAAATCAACCATTAAAAACCGATTAGAATAATAAAAACAATGTCTGACATTATTAACGTGTATTGTTTAATATGTGGAGTGCTGGTATCAAAATATATGCTATCTATAATTGATTTTTCTCCACTCTTATTCATTATGACTTATTCACTATTCGGGGGTTTTCGACTGAATTGCAGCATGTATCAAATGGAATGAATCAATGGTATTTATAATTAATTTAGAATTTCTTCAGTAATTTTAATTTAAGGAAGCTCTATACAAAGAGTGATTTTGGACTATGTGAAAGCTATACCAGATCAAGGTTTGCATTGGGACTATTTCGTATATTTTCAGCATGGGGCACTTTTCTTATTTCTGCAGTAAAAAGACTATGGACTATCTGTTAGCAGAAATCACTGTAGTTAATATATATTATTTGGAATAGTAATGGAAACAATGAATTCAAAAACAAAAACAAAAGTCTCATTCTCCATGGCACATGATCCACCTAAGATGTTTTGGAGGTCTGTGTTTTATCTGCTCCAATTTTCTATTGTTTGATGGACATTTGACCTTTGACGTTATCTCCGTATTCAATTTTGAGTTTATCAGTGTTTATATGATGTATATTTAAACTGTTTGAAGAAACTATTTTCTGTGAGGTCGGAATAAATTTACATGTTAAGTGAGGAACCAACGTGACTGACAAATCGACCAATCAGCTCAATGAGTTGCATTAAGGGTTACTACAAAAAATACTACATGTATGTTTCGAAAAGGCCATTTTTTTTTTTTTAAAATGCTCTTGGAAAGACGTGATGCATTTTTCCAAGCATTTTACACTCTTAATACAATATGTACATTATTATCTACTAATTCCATGCTCTCATTTATATACAAATGATTTACAATGGTAAAATTAGAGTTTTCTCCACTCTATTGCACAAGTCCGATTGTTGAAAGCTTATATCGGGCTGTATTGTCAGTTAAGGGACTCCGACCCTCAGCCAGGAAGGACAACTCTTTAATTATAATTCAATTCAAAAACTCTTTATATGAAGCTTGAAATTTAAATATTTTCATGCAACAATTTTCATTATATGCTTCTCAATGTGCTTCAATGTTCTTTGCAAAGCTCCATAAATTACTTCTAATTTCATATCATGTTAATAAACATTGGTATCTAAAAATGCTTTTTCGTGATAAAATTTTCTACTTTTAATTAGACCTTTCTGAGAAGTTCAAAGAACCTTGAAGAACATTGAGAGGCATATAATGAAAATTGTTGCATGAAAAGATTTAATTTTCAATCTTCATTTAAAGACTTTTTGAATTTAATTATAAATTAAAGAGTCGCCCTTCCTGGCTTAGGGTCGGAGTCCCTTAAAAGTAAACTCTCCTGACTATTCCTTGGTCCAAAATGATCAACTCTGAGATATACTCACGTATTGTCAATGTTTACACGTATACAACTTTGAAATACGTACAGCTTAATATACGTTCTATGATCAAACAATATTATCACAGATAATTCAATTTATGCCGCTATGAGAAATATATTATATTTTACACCTAAGGATAATTCTGCATATCCCTGCGCAGTCTGCAGGATATGCGCCCTTATCGCAGCGCAATTATCATAGAACTTTCATTGCGAAATCGCACCTCATTTTGCTTGACAGAGTTATCCAATCAAAATCCTTGATTTTGTTGCGCCATTTTTGTTAACCTGGCAGTGCATTGAATGTACTCTGATATGTTCACTGCATGTAAATTTCTAGTCAGTCTCAAGGGGATCACACTTGTTCCTTTCACCTGTGTACATGTAACCTGTATTGTTTAATATTAGATGATCCCCCTTAATGATTTGTTATACATTTTACTATATGTCATTGAATAAAATGACATATTCGACAAAACTGCATATCTGTGTTTGGCTGTTTTTCACTGCACTTTCAGGCTGCTATTTCTCATAGGAGGAATAAATGTACTTGAGAATTAATATAGTGTCAATAAAAAAACTCGTGCAACTTTTTTTTTAAAATAAATGCAATAACTTTTAATTTCCATTGACAAATAACAAAGCAACAACGAATTTAAACACTTACATGGCAAATTTACGAAGATCGAGTTCCAAAAACTGGATTCTTATTTACTGTACTTGTGAGCCGTATTTCAAAATACTATTTATCGAGGAAATTTGACTTTGTTTGTTAATGTGAGCATACGAAATCTTAATTAGTGCCAATTCTTCGTATTTTTCACAAAAACATTTTTTAAAAAAACATGCTAGTTGACTTTCCTGCAGTCAGTTGACATTGCGTCATAAATTTCCCTGACGCACGTGTTTGCAGTAAAAATAAACATGTAGTAGACCATCATGCTTTTCGGCTCATTCATTGGATTGGACCATTGTACGCTAGATAAAGTTACAATAACTTACTAATCTTTAAAACTGATAATGTTGCATTTCAATTTTTTTTTCAGATACGCTTTATGATTAACGTTTGACAAATCTATAAGATATATTTGAAATTGACTAAGGATTTTCCCGTTATTTCCCAGTCATGGCAAGAAGCACACGGTGGTGATCACTGGTCGGCAGGGGATGCTTACTCCTCAATTGCACATGATCCCACCTCTGATGTTTTGGTGGTCCTTTTGATTCTGCTCCTGAATTGTATCGCTTAAGGGACTTTTGAGCTTGAATACTCTTTGTTATCTCCATATAATTCATCTATGGTAAGCAGTTGTTTTGAAGTCACTCAGCAGTGTATCGAGTCACAAACTCTGAGGTATCTTAAGAATGATAAATATATATTTGTATAATAAGTAAATTGCTTTAGATGTATAATCAGAAGGGTATCTTTTTATATGTTTGCTTTATCGTATTTACATACATGTATATCGTTTTTACTTTAGAAAAAATAAATGAAGAAAAAGATCAGTCTCAAAACAATTGATAGAATTTCCTACAAGTACAATGTACTAACAATTGCAGTATTTTACAGTTTCCCTTCTAGGTATGAAAATTAATATTGGAATCATTAATCGCCAAATAATGAATGTGTCTCAATATTTTATTATTAAAAAAACTAGTAAGGAAAAAAAATCACTTTTAAGACATTTATTGTTTACACTTTATTTATAGAGATAAAACATTATTAGACCACGAACTCTCAGTTAAGCATGCCGAAATGTTTCCTTTATTTTCTAAAAACCATTGATTATATAACTGATAAGAAAATTATATTGTTGTAAATGTCAAGTGAAAGAAACCCCATATTATTAACAGGTCTAGGCGGCCTCTGTTTTTGGAGGATACATTTTATCCTCTAGAAACAGAGGATTGAGGTGTCGACACCTACCGGATTTTTCAAAACAAAGGGCAATCTAAACCAAAAAAATAACAGCAACTCTTGCAGTTCTCGGTTTATGTACCGTACGCTGATTTTTCAACCCTTTCCTGTCTGAAAATTAATTATAGCCAAGCTTATTTTCTGGTACCATAATTTATGTGTTAACAGTATTAAAGTTAAAAAAAAAAAAAACATTTTTTTGAAAAATTCAGTTTCATTATTATTTCATTTAATGACAGGATAGAGATGTTTTTCTTTGAAGTTTGCTCTTCTGCACGGGTCGGAGTGGTCGGAGCTACTTTCCGTTCTGTATTAGTCTTCTGTACTGCTAAATAAGCCAACTAATCTGTATCTAAAATACAGCACGGTCAAAAAACAAATCTGATCCAATTTATCAAAAGCTCGTACACATATTAAAGTAAAGAACTGTGTGTATCGCCTGTACGTGTATCTAATTAAATTGAACTATTAAGACCCCTGAAATAAATTGGGATCAATCTCCATCTACAGCAAGGTTATACCGTCCTCCATATCAGTTAAACTTAAATTCAATTACGTCTACCCGTTGTTGACATCAAAACTAATCTGACTGAAACTTACGTTGTCCGTGGAAATATATATATACTGCGGATGTATACTCCCCGTCGAGGCCTCATCCAGTAACTCTAGCTGAAGTTTGGATGCTGCACAGCCAAAAAGTGGGATTTTTTTTTTCTTATTTTCTCTAAATAATATTTATTTTATCTTTGCTTAAATTATCAGGCAGAGTGTATTTTGTCTTTACAGTATTTTTTCTTTTGTGTATCCTTTTTCTCTAATTTTTAATTAAAAGAAAATATGAAATTAATGTTATTTATGTATTGTTTGAGCATTTATAAATGCCTTTTTATTTGTCTTGATAGGGAAAAATATAAAAATTAAACAAAAAAAAAAAAAAAACAACAACAAAAAACAAGAAACATTAAGTAGAAATGAAGCACAAGAAGTGCCAACTTTGAAAGCGTATTGTAAAAATTCTAGACATAGA